ACAGTCTCTGCTGAAAAGCGGGGGTGGAGGTACAGATGTCACAGTGGGAGACCCACTACTGGATAACCACTGAGGCCACTGTGCCAGTGGTACAGGGCCTGGAGGGAATTGGGGGACAAGAGAAGCTTGGGGATCAGGTGCCTACTGGACGTGGTGTCTGAGAGGGAAAGTGGGAGCTGAGATCTCTCCAGGGTTTAGGCAGCTCAGCTACAGGGGAAGCCACTTCTATCTTGTAGGTGAAGCTAGAAAGTGGAGCTTGCTCCACAGGAAGCTCAAGGCGCCTAGGAAGCATGGGTCTAGAAGAGCGAGGTTTTGGGTGACTAAAAGCCATCTCTCTGGTCTGGATACATGGAAAATAAAGCTGGAGTCCCTGAAGGAGGAGGTCTGCAGTCTTTTAAGTTCAGACGCTTTACGAGAAGAGACTAGAGAAACGCTGGTGACCCTTTGGAGCATCCCCTGAGCAACAAAGTGGGCAAGACTCCCAGGCAGCCCTGGACAAAAAGCTGCAGAGTCCAAGGGAGGGAAAACCAGCGACACGAAGCTAAGAGGAAGCATGAGGGCACAGAGTGCCAAAAACCCTCAGAAGCAGGGCCTCTCTTCATCCCAGGGCCCAGCTCAGCAGCAGCACCCAGCATGTGACTGTTGAGTGAGTGCTTGAAGCGGGGAGCGATTAGCTGGCAGTGCTGCCGAACTGAGCTCAAGGACCACGAGGATGGGAAGGGGCCTTTTGAGGCCACGGGTGCCGATGTCAAGTCAGGTTCATCTAGGAGAGAGAAACCACATGGTGTTTTGAACAAGGGAAATCTAGCAAAAAGAATTATTAACTATAACAGAATAGACTAATGGGGGATTGGCTAGTAGGAAGGACTCCAAAGAGTACAGAAATGGCAGATGGAAAACAGCTATCATCCCTGTGGTTACCAGATGCCCAAGGAAGAAGCCCCTGGGGCTGAGATCCAGCCCTCAGTGGAGAAGACGGCCATGGCTCCTTGCATGGCAAAGGAACCACTGTGCCATGTTGGGGAACTTGCTGAAAATCCAGGGGGAGTTGCTCATGGGGGAGGCATCTCGCTGGAAGCACCCTGCCCCTAAACTCCCTAACGGGAGCCTGGTATAGCTGCTGGCTGTTGGGTGCTGTGGACAATCATGTACAACTAGAGCCAGGGGCTGGGGTAGCTGTCTGCATCGTAGGAGACCGGTGCTCCTCGGGAGCTGGACACTGGGAAGTTGCATGCTGTAAGAACCAGGTTCTGGAGAAGCTGTAACAGTACAGCAGCTGGGGCCTGGGAATCTTCACCGCCTGCAAGAACCTGACACTGGAAAATGTCCAGACTGCAGGATCTGGCTGCTAGAGAAGTTGTATATCATGTGGGAGCGCTGTAAGAGAGCATCCTGGATCTAGGAAGGAGACCTCCATCTTGCTTCAGTGTCTTCTCCAGTGTTCTCCACCGACAATGTTTAATGCTGTGCCAGCTAGCAAAGGAAAAATACCTAAAGGTCTCACTTACATTTTCACAGAGCATGCAATAAAGTGTGAATAAACTGAGAACTGGCACAATCCATCCCTTTTGTACACAGCTTCCATTTGTAGCCTTTATACCCATCTGTATTTCTGTACAACAGCAAAATAACTAGTTGTCTATCTGTCAAGACAGAGTCATCCTAGGGCCCGGGGATTTAGCTCAGTGGATTAGCTAAGCCTGCCTCACAAGGGCAAGGTCCTGAGTTCCATCCCTGGTATTGGGGGGGAGAAAAAAAAGAGTTACCCTTCTTGTGAATTTCTCACCCTTTTGCCCAGATGCGGAGTCCCAGTAACCAGTGTATCAGTCCCTGGCTACCTTAATAACTTGTGTACTCCGAGCTACTGTATTTGAGATGCTGAGGTAGGAGGATTGCAAGTTTGAGCTCCACTTGGACAATTTGGTGAGAGCCTGTCTCAAAATAAACATTCTAAAAGGGCCGGGCAAATAAACTCAACAGCCCTGGGTTCAATCCCCCATACCACAAACAAAAAGCAAATTTCTCAGAGCCAGGGAGTTAGCTGTGTGGCACCATGCCTGCCTTGAAAGCACAAGGTCTTGAGTTCGATGCCTGGTACCAAAACAAAGAAACAAAAACTTCTCAAACTCACAGTCCCACTGAACAATCTGCTACCTAAAGACTAAATTATAATGCTAACTGCCAACAGCTTGTATAGAAAATAATCGGAAGGAGAAAAATGGAAGATAGTTGTAACCATATATGCAAATAAACATATACCAAGTAAATAGAAGATATGCAAAACTACTCTAGTCCTCACTTCTGCATTTGTTCACAAGGCCACATTCAAGGCCACGTTTGCTATCTGGTTTCCTTCTCCCATTACTCACTGTATTACCTCTGCATTCCGCCAGTCTCAGCAGATCATGCATCACTGACTTGGTGGGGTGGACCAGACCTTCATTCCTGAAGGATCTGAGTCTTCAGCTGTCCTGCTTTTGCTGTTGTTAGTGTCATCTTCCATTACTTTGGGGCATCCCCTGAGAGTATCCCCTGGATTCAAGATCTAGTCTCCTTGGCTCTGTTCTGTGTCAGCATCCAATTTCTCCTTGTAAATAGGACCAGCTACTCCGAACAGTGGAGTAGCTCCTTTATCTGTTGATTCAGTGGCCACGGAATGATGTCTGGTCACGGCAGATGTGTTACCTTCCAGTGGAACTGTTTTGGGGTTCCCCGATGGTAGTGTTCTTCTCCTGTGGAATAAGGCATTCATGACTGCAGAGAAGTTCAGAGGAATAGGATGGGGAGAAAGAACCAAACCAAAGGGGCTAAGGTGAGAGTTAGTGAAGAGGCTGTGGAGCTGGCAAGTGTGGAACATTCTCTGAAGAAGGCTGAGAGAGTAGAGGACACAGGTGTGGCTTATGGGCCATTTCCTAGGGAAGACAGGGTCAGATCGTGCCCATGGCTGCCACAGAACCTGCCAGGGACCATGTGACTGATTCTCACAGGCTGTCGCCTGACCACCCTGTGTCCCTGACTCCCAGGTCATGGGAAGTCCATCTGACTACCAAGTCCGCATAGTCCCAGATGGGGCTCTGTGTGTAACACTTGGCAATGAATGCTCCTTTATGGAAGTCTCTGATGGCTCATTTTGGCTCCAGAAAACAACTTCATTTCCTCAACATTGTCTATTTTGGGTATAAATCTTTTTCCTTTTGCTTTTGGGGCTGTGTCATGGTTACCATTAGTGTGAGCAGAGGAGTCTGTGACTCACTCTCATTCCCACCCCGTGGCTGTCATAGTGGCAGCAGGTGTGGAGTAATCATAAATGCTCCTGCTGGCACTGCCTCTGATGGTGATGCCATGGCTGCCAGGAGGCTGTGGGAGCCTCAAGTCATCTCATTGTGTCTCCTGAGCCAGACAGTTGGGCTCTAAAATGGGGATAAGATATCAGGACTGTTGCTCTGTCTTGAGGGGCTTTTGATATTCTGTTGGGTAGCTTGTGGGGTGGGTGCAAATGATGTCTCTGAAAGTCAAAGCAATGGGATGATGAAACCATCTCACCCAAAAGTGGTACCAAGACCACTCACCCTGCACTTCTTCCTTTACCTACCCTCAGTCTTGTGACCTAGAGAGAGGGGGGAAAGACTTGGCCACTAGACATCTCCCTCCAGAAGGTTCTGGTGTCTTTCTCAGCCTTCTGGTGGCTCCCAGCTTGCACCAGGCCAGGATCTTGTTATGAGCCACCTTGGCAGATAATGTTCTTTTGGTACCAGGGATTGATCTCAGGACCTTTGCACTTGTGAGGCAGGTGCAGCACCATTGAGCTAAATCCCGAATCCAGGAAATGTTACAGGTAGGGAAGCACACACAAGATTCTCCTTCCATCATCCACAGGACCCATTTGTACCTCTTCCCTAGCTCAAATTGGAAAGTTGGCCATGAGGTTGTTAATGGGAGTGGGGCCACCTCAGGCACAGATCACAGATTGTGGAGCTTCCTCTGGGGTCCAAGCTTAGACTGCTTCTCTGAGTGCCACAGTGTTTGCAAGGGCTCTGGAGTTAGAAAATCCTGGGTTCATCATCGTGCCTTGGGACTTTCTAGCTCTGCTACCTTGGAGAAGTAATAAACTCCTCTAAGCCTCAGTTTCTTCTATGAAATGGGGACATCAAAAGAACCTAATTTATACACTTCTAGAACTGTTACTGGGTATCACATAGGACAATGCATGTCCTTGAGCATACTGCCTGGCACGTGGGAGACCCTCACAGGTTAAATGAATAAATAGTAAATAACTCCTGCATTGTACCGGACATTGACTACTGTGATTAGAAGGTTGCAATGCGCACCACCACCCTCTCCCCTCTCCTACTGGAGATAAGCCTTACCAGGAAAGGGAGATCAACTGGGAACTATGTTTTCTGACAAGACTGTACCCAAAATTATGCAGTACACTTCACATGCTAGTTGTGAGAGCGCATGATCGAGTGGGAAACTGGCGACACAGCCCTGGATTTGTGTCTGGCTCCACCTCTTACCAAGACGTTGGGCAGTTTTAGTAACCTCTCTACACCTTATTTTTCTCATCTGGAAAATGGGGATTAAAAATAGTACCCACTTCAAAGAGTAGGGGTGAGGTGTGAGGATTAATGAGATGTTGACATTGGAAAGCTTTACTCATAAGGCCTGGCATGTTGCAGGAGTTTAATAAGTACAAGCTTTTGCTTGAGTGATGTCCACTTATGGGCACTCCAGGGGTTTCAACAAAGAGAAATCTGTGGGTGGATGTGACAAGGATTAATAATCGTTAAGGTTTATTGAGTGATTTCTCTATGCCAGACACTTTTGTAAGCATTTTTAATGCTTTCCATTTTAATTTTCACATTAGCCCTTCGAGGCAAGTAATATAATTTACTCCCGTTTTACAGCTGAGAAAAGGAAGGCACAGTTTTGCTTCAGGTCACAGAGCTGATAAGAAGGCTAGGGTTTGAACCCATGCTGCCGGCCTCCCCTGAGGGTCTTTCAGAGGTTGAGATTAGTGCATGACTCAAGCCTGTGTCAGCCATGACTCAGCCTCGCTCACAGCGGGCCCTTGCTCACAGCGGAAGTAGTAAAAGATCACATTACCGGAAGTGCAGAGATCTGCCCTTCAGGTATAGCCAGATGTGGAGGCTCAGACAACTGCCATGTTTAATCCCTGTCTTCACCTCTTGGCTTTGTTGTGGGCCCAGCACGCTCCGTGTGGCCACATGACTGCACTTCACAGCCCTCCACCCAATACGACCCGTTAACTTCCTTTAGCAGCGCCAAAGAAAAAAGTTCCGAGGGGGCCCCCGATTGGCTCTCCCCGGTCACGTGTCCCAGCGGGGCGGGGTCCTCCAGCACCGCCAGATCCCGCTATCCCTGTTTTCCACTCCCTCGACTGAAAATTTAGATCCCTGGAGGTGGCGGGAACAGGCTCGCTGGGTCATGACGCGCAGATTGTTCTGGTGGTGCAAGGGTTTAGGTCTGCAGATACTGATGGATCTGATTGTGGATGCGGATACTTGATAATGCTGGGCCTTGTGAGGAGGTGGTGGTCCGCGGGGTGGGTGCCGGGAGGTTGGGGCTGGAGAGGAAGGAGGACATGGCTTGGGGAAGGCTCCACTCTGGGTGGGATGGTCCACAAGCCCCCCAGAAGGTTGAACCGTGGGTCCTTTCTCTAAGATAGAACTAGTGAAGGGGCTGGGAGGTGGCAGCAGGATGCGGGCAGTTGAGTGTATGGGGAATAGAAGGAAAGGAGGCACTGTGCGTGGTGCTGTGGATTTGGGGAAAGGATGTATTTGGAGGACAATATTTCGTGAGAGGGCCGAGAGGGAGGTGGTTTTCGCAACTGGTGATGGAACCCTGTGGGTGTGAGGTGATGGTTACTCCGTGGGGCTTCATGGTTTCATCGAAAGAGGGAATGGCCACAGCGACTCTCATATTTACAGAGGAGGAAGTGGAGGCCAGACACCCACAAGGGCTGCAGAGGGTGTGAACCCCCTTTCCTATCCCCATTCCCCCCTTTTTTTTTTTTTTGGTGCTGAGGATCGAACTTGGGACCTTGCGCTTGCCAGGCAGGCAGCAGAACCCATTCCCTCTTAAAGCTTATTTACAGTAGCACATACATTTAAGCAGTGAAATAGTATGAAAATCTAACAAAATGCAGTTGTTCCTTGCCTATTCCTCTTACAGAAAACTTTCAATCCTTTTGGCTGTTTCTTCTAGCAATGTTACATCTCACATTTCGGAGTAGTGGCCATATTCCTTATTTATGTGGGCGTTTTCCACTGCTTTCTTATTTATTTGAGTCTCTTATATGGCTAACCTTTCTCATCCCCAGTTATTTTTCTAAATAGATTTTGTGGTAGGTTTACTATTACCAGTGCCCTTCCATTTTCAGAAATGTTTATGTGCACATTAGTGTTTGTGTATGTGTGCATGTGACAGAGTAGTGGCCTCTTAAAGATGGCCCTGTTCTGATTCCTGAGCCTGTGAACGTGTTAGACGGCCAAAGGGACTTGGAAGATATGATTAAATTAAGGACCTTTGTGGGGAAGATTATCCTGGAGTATCTGGGTGGGTCAGTGTAACCACAAGAGTCTTTAGAAGTAAAAGATGAAGGCAGGAAAGTTAGAGAAGAAGAGACAGAAGCAGAGTCACAGTAACACAGTGGGAGAGAGATTGGCCTTACTGGCTTTGGAGCTGAAAGAGGTCAGAAGCTCAGGGGCAGACTCTAGAAGTTGGGCAAGACAAGAACGCAGATTTTCCTTACAGCCCTGTTAAAACTTTGAAGTTAGGGGCTGGGGATTTAGTTCAGTGATTTCTGCTGCCTGCCTTGGAAGTGTAAGGACCCAAGTTCAATCCCCGGAACCAGAAAAAAAAAAAAAAAAAAAAAAAGCTTTGAAGTTAGCCTAGTGTAAAGAACCGTTGGGATGGCCAGCTTGCAGAAGAGCAAGATAAAACATTCGTGTTGTTTTAAGCCATTAATGTTGTGGTACATATGAAATGAATGTGTGTATACATGCATGCGTATAATTTGTTAAATCCACACGCAGTGCTCACATTATGTCAGTGCAACTATTGTCCACAGCTGAGCCTTCTAGTATACTATAATCGTTTTTTCTAAAGTTAGTAATTACTGTGTGTGTGTGTTATTTTTTTTTTAAACTCGCTTTGTTTCCTTTGTACCTGTTGCTGATTCCTACCACACCTTGTAGTAGTCATCAGTGTGGCTTTCTGTAAGAGCAGTCAAGACAGGTAAAGAATTTCCAGTCCCATTTTTTCAGTCATGTGTTCTCTTTCACTCTGGGCATGTGGCTTGCAGTTGATATTCCGTGACTTCTGTCTGTACTCATTCTTGGAAGTCCCTTTACCGTGGGATTGCAGACCCTGTTTTCTGGCTTATGTGTCTTCCTCCTGCTCAGTTCATCCTCCTAGTTAGAGCAAATCCTCCAGGACCAATATCTGTCAATTTCCAGACCTCTTTCCCTTTTCTCCTGTGCTGGATGTCTTGTGGCTTAGAGGACCTCTTCCTCGGCTTCCTGAGAGAATGGCATGAGACCATAAGAAGTGTGAGAAAAATTACGGTGAATGTTTAAGTTGGAAATAAAAGATTGTAGGGGCTGAGGATTTAGCTCAGTGGTCCCACTGCCTGCCTTGCAACCCCAAGGTCCAGAGTTCGATCCCTGGTACAAAAAAAAAAAAAGAAAAGAAAAGAAAAGATTGTACTATTCTAAAAGCCTCATTGCATTAACCTCCCTCTAACTACCATCTCCCACGTGCATGCACCCACACGCGCTCTTCAGACATACTTAGTCCATCGTTCTTGTGTAGCCGTTCTGGGAGTTTCCTTTTATGAGTGCCTTTTTGTGGCTGCCTCGATGTCCTGAATCAATTCAAAATGTTTATGGCAATTTCTGTCAAATAAAAATGTTTATCAAAGTCGGGCATGGTGGTGCACACCTGTAATCCCAGCACTCGGGAGGCTGAGGCAGGAGGATCGCTGTGAGTTCGAGACCAGTCTGGGCTACATAGCGAGTTCCAGGTCAGTCTCCACTACATAGTGAGGCCCTGTCTCAAAAAACAAAACAAAACAAAATGTTTATGGTGTGCCCTCAAGATTTTGTCCCAATTTATTCCCTGGATCTGACATTGTGAAACTTCTGGCTCTTCCCCAAAGTCAAAATGAGGTAAACATTTTGAGTTGATTTGGGATATTGACCCAGCCACAACAGCACAGTTAAAGGCATGAAAGAGCACTCCCAGAACTGCTTCGGAAAGTAGCAGGGATGAGTGTGTCTGAAATGAAGGGGAGTTTTTTTTTGATTTTGTTTTTTTGGTACCAGGGATCAAATTGGGGACCTTATGCTTGTGAGGCAGGCGGCGGAAACACTGAGCTAAATAAATCCCTGGGCCTGAAGGGAGTGTTTTGAGGGGAATTGATGGCAGTATGTCTTTTACTATAGTAAATTTTTAAAATTTAAACGTTTACCATAGTTTTTGAGCACACCTCATTCATTTCTAAAAATCCTCACACTCTCATGATAATTTTTAAGGGGAAAGAATTGTAATCAGAATTAAGATTTGTTTAATCTTTCAGCATTTTGAAGGAGATGGGTGTGGTGCGCATGACTCTAGTCCCAGCAACTGGGTGGCTGAAGCCGGAGGACTGCCCTGAGTCTGAGGCCAATCTGAGCTACACAGCAAGACTTTGCCTCAAAAAGCAGAACAACAACAACAAAATATAAATTTGAGGGTATTGGTCTGGTGTACCCAGTGTGGGGCTATTTTCATTTGCATCCTGAATGAGGGACCACTAACAGGATTGACTGGGTCAGACAACTTTGGTCTCATTTCTGGGAAATTATCTTTCTCTTTTTTGTGTGAGATATGATCTCACTATGTTGCCCAGGCTGACCTTGAACTCCTGGGCTCAGGCACTCCTACCTCAGCCTCTTGAGTAGCTGGGACTACAGATTTGCACCACCATGCCTGCTTTGTTTTTTTGTTTGTTTGTTTTTCCTCCTTCTTAATGAACTCATTCTATTAAGTTTTAAATTTTTAACCATTTTTATACGACACAGTAATTGTACATACTTATGTGATACAGTGGGTAGTTCAGTACTTATTTTGTAAGATGTAATGATCAGATTAGGTTAATTGGCATATTCATAAACTTGCTTCTAATTTCTAATTTCTTTTTTTTTTTTTTTTTGGTTTTTTGAGACAGGGTCTCACTATGTAGTGGAGACTGACCTGGAACTCACTATGTAGCCCAGGCTGGTCTCGAACTCACAGCGATCCTCCTGCCTCAGCCTCCCGAGTGCTGGGATCACAGGCGTGCGCCACCACACACGGCTCTAATTTCTAATTTCTTATTGCCAGATTTTGTGGTGCACACCTATAATCCCAGCCTTTGGGTGGCTGAAGCAGGAAGACAGCTGTGAGTTCGAGGCCAGTTTGAGCTACATAGTGAGTTCAAGGCTGGCCTGAACTAGTAGCTATACTCTGCCTCAAAACAAACAAACAAACAAATCCTCTTACTAATATTCTGAAATATACAGTTAATTGTTGTCAACCACAGCTACCTTACTGTGCTATCCAATATTAAAAGTGATTCCTCCTGCCCAACTTCAGCCCTATACCCATAACCATCCTCTGTCCTTGTACCCCCACTAGTCTACTCTTTACTTCTGTGAGGCCAATAATTTAGCCCCTACATACAAGTGAGAACATGGACTTTCACTTAATATTGTCCACACTCTTCCATGTTACTGCCAATGGTAGTTCTTTATTCTTTATGGTTGAATAATATTCTATTGTGTACATATACCACATTTTCTTTATCTATTCATTTGTTGATGGGCACCTAGCCTCGATTTATTTCCTATCTTGGTTACTGAGAATAGTGCTGTAACAAACATAGGGGTGTAGATGTCTCTTTGACATACTGCTTTATTTCCTTTGGATATATACCCACTACTAGAATTGCTGGATCATGTAGTAGTTCTATTTCCAATCGTCTGTTGAGTTTTGCATTTCTGCTATGATTTTTTTATTTGTAGTTCTTTTTTGCTGTGTATTTTTTTTAATGCATCATATTCCTGTTTTATGGATGTAATATCTTCTCTTTGCACAACCTGGTCTGTTTTCTCCAAGTATTTTTGTTGCTGTGTTTTGTTTGGGTTTGGTTTTGACTTACTTGTTTTGGTTTCTGTCTTCCAAGGTAGAGGCTTCCTTGAATACCTGGTGCTCCTTTCTGGGTTATGAATAGGGGACTAAAATGCTGGTTGAAAGCTCTGAGCATGATGGTGGGGCTTGTCAACTTTCAGGTCCACACTGGTTGACTTGAAAAGTTGTTCTGTCCCCGTTTTGGTCTTGATGGCAGTATTGGCATTCATAGGCCTCTTCTCTTAGACCGATTAGATTCTGAAGAGAAGGTCAAGCTCTGGCCCCCACTAGTTTCCAGCCCAGTAGAGGAGCAGCCTGGGGGACCCCACAGCAGCCAGTTATTTATTTATTTATTTATTTATTTATTTATTTATTTATTTATACCGGGGTTCGAGCTCAGGCCCTTGCATTTGCGAAGCAGGTGGCGGCACCACTGAGCTAAATCCCCAGCCCAACATCAGCCTGTTACCTTGTCATTGGCTTCATATATCACTTTTGCCCGCAGATGTGACAAGCAACTCTTTGTGCAGTGACCACTTATTTTATGCACCCTCTGGAGAATGTGAATTAACCTTCAAACTTCTGCAGGAGTAGGAGAAGGGATTCTACTTCTTTCTTTCAACCTCTTATTTTCACACATGCATCTTCTTCACCCTGGTCCCAGAGTGCCTGGTGCTACTGTAAAGTGTCTGCTAAGGACTCTGTTTTGTAAATCCGCTTTTACACTCCTGTCTCAAATTAGGCTGTCACAGGTCTGCTTTCCAGAACTCAAAAATGTGTTAGTAGTGTTTCTTTCATCTCTGGTACAGCCTAATCTTGTGATTTTACATCTTCTTTGAAAATCTTTCTACTAGGTTAGACTGAAGAAGGTAATGAAACGTGGCTATAGTCAAAAGCCCCGTTATTTTTCCACAACAGCTTGGGTGACTGAAGTGGTGATGGCTGAGACCACATCAGCGATGTTTTCGTGATGGGATTCCTTAAACATTTTTCTGACTCTTTGTTTTATATTATTCACAGTCCTTGTGGACATGCAGTGCATCAAGGGGAGAATGAAAGCTGCTAGTCAGGTCGTGGGACCCATGGTGAGAACTTTTTGTGGTGCCGTCTTTGGCCTGAGTGGGAGGGATGATCTAGTGCTGGAGCAGTGGGGCCGTGATGCGTAGTGGACACAGGGCTGGACAGGGACCATGGCCCGGGGCAGGCCCCTCCCACCGCCAGGCTACGGCTCACAAAGGAGGTAGGCAGTGCTGTGTCAAGGCCACCGAATGGGACTCCTGGAGTTGTGTTGTGCAGGACATGCCTTGCCTGGCCACATACTGGATGATTTTAGATGACACTGAGAGATTTGGAGGGCCACCCTTGGACGCAACTGGTCCGTTGAGCAACACAAAGGGACCTAGGATCCAGCCAGGTCAGCTGCATTTTCTGGGAGGACAGCTATGTAACTCAGAGGTCAGGGACTTGGGAGGAGGAGGAGGAGGTGGAAGAAACATTTCCTTTCCTTTCTGGGGTGCTTGTCATTGGATTCAGAGCACTGTGATGTTCTGCTTTTCCTGCTGGCTTTATTTCCCTCTGGGGTCAGAAATTCTCTAAAAGACTCCTGTCTCAGCACCTCTGGTCACTTGCTCGGGTATCCCTTTGGTGTTCGTAGGGCTCAGCGGCACTAGGACTGACTCTTATTTCTTAATTTGTGCCTGGAGGAAAGTGAGGGCCCAAAGAAGCCCTGGTTGGGACCAGAACTTTCCTCTGCCGACTCAACCAGGCTGCCTCTCATAGCTTCAAGAGAACTGGGCTCAGGCCTCGAGGAAGCTTTAACTGTTCTGAATTTTAGATTCAGCTGTGAACCAGGCAGAGTACTCTTGGCAGTACTAGGAAAATACTATTAGAGGAACATGGGTGTCACGTGTCTAGCACAGGGTCAGAAGTGAAGCCACTGTCACTGCTGCTGTCCAAGCTCTCACGCATTTGGGCAGCTAACATTCACTGAGCCAGCACCCTGCCAAGCTCGAGGGTGTGGAAACTAAGATGCACCACAATGGGGTCTCCTCAGGATGTAGCTGTGGGCCAGGGGATCTTCGCGGCCAGTCTGGGATTCTAAGTCACGGGGTCCTTCCTGTCAGGGCCCTAAGCGCTCCTCCCAGCTCCTGCTTCCTCTGCTCCATCTGGTGCAGAACCTGGGCTGCTCCGGGGCAGTCACCCACCGCCGGGGAAGGGGATGGGCCCATGGGAGAGCCAGGCCTGTGCCTTCTCCAGTTCTGGTTTTCCAGGGAGCCCTGGCTGGGGGTTGGTGGGGGGGATGGGAGGAAAAGCCCAAGAGGGAGGGGAGTGGGGGAAGCGGCACGGGAACTGGAAGGGAAGGGTGTGGGTGGCCTGGATCCAGCCTGCCTCCTACTTTCCCACTGCTGCCAATCCCCTCCCTGTCGGGCTCATCGGAGGCAGGGGCTTGGCGCAGTGGCCTGGGGGTGGGAGCTGGAGAACTCCGCTCCTGTCTGTCCAAAGGCGACACCCCTACCCCAGCTGTGGCCTGAGGCTCTGGCTTTGTTCCTTCACTGACTTGAGGCCCACACCTGGAGCAGGGAGGAAAAGCCCTTACAGTTCAGCTGTGGGGATTCGGAGGGCCAATTTTAACCACTCACTTTTGAAGAAAAATGGGGCCAGTTGTGGGGTGTGGAAGAGAGCTGCTCACACCCTCCCTTGGAGTGGCCTTGACCGAGGCTGTGGCCTCTCCCCACTGTGGCAGCCCCTAGAGAGCAGAGCAAACCAGCCCTTCAGCCCGGCTCAAGTCTCAGTCCTGAAGTGAGGTGACATTCATTTCACTACATCCTGCCCTCACTTCCTCCACGTGGGGGGAGCAGTGTGGGGGTGGGGGGTCGGGTGAGGACAGATAGAAGGAAAATGTAGCCTGGTTGGGGGGCCTCTGGGGGAGGCTGGGGTTTCCCAGGGGCTGCTTGGGGTGGGAGGCAGGGTGCAGGAAGCCTTCAAAGGGAAGAACGGATGTGCATGAAGAGAAGGGAGGAGCAGGAGGCAGCTAAGTCCCAGAAGTGGCACCCACAGCACATACAGGCTCTGGCGAGACGGCTGCTGCCCCCGGGCTCTCAGGCTGCTCCACGCTGCAGGAGGCACCCTGAGGGAAGCGAGCCAGTGCTGCTGCCTGGGCCTGCCTCGGTTTCCCCCTCAGGGTGCTGGTGAGGACAGGAGGTCAGGTCAGAGACAGGGGGCCTCAGACCAGGCTGGCCCCGGGCTGTGGCCTAACCTTAGGGAGAGGCCGAGGGTCGAGGGCCAGGTGGGACCCGGGTCCTGGCATTCCCTCCTGCTGACCTGCTTCTTTTCCCCCACAGGTGGAGCCATCAAAAGCCCAAACTCACAGGACGAAGAGGCAGGTCTCAGCAGGGGACTCAACACCGAGACCTATGTTTAAGTTTTAACTCCTGCTTGCTAAGACCACGATAATTCCTTCTCCAAAGCCCAGCAGCCCCCCAGCCCCACGAAGCCCCAGCCTGCCGCCCACTGCCCAGCTGCCCACAATGCCCTCCAGTGGCCCCGGGGACAACAACAGCTCCGCTCTGGAGCGGGAGGAGGACCGAAAAGTGAGTAGCAGGCGCTGCCCCGAGTGACAGCTCTGGTGTGCCGAGTGCTGCCCCATGCAGTCTCCATGTGGCTTAGTCCCAACATCAGGCTGGTGGAGGCCATCAGCATCCCTGTTTTGGTGGTGGGGAAACTGAGGCTTACAGAGTTTAGATTCTGGAGGTGGGACAGGAACTTGAACCCAGAGAATGTGGCTCTCAAAACCCAGCTTTCAACCACCATGGTATTGGAGCTCAAACCCCAGATCTGTGCAGCTGTGAGGGGTTGGCCGTGCAGGCAGACCAAAGCCTGGGTGCCTTTTTGGATCCACCTCTCACTAGCTGTGAGTCCTCAAGCAAGTTCCTGTACCACTCTGTTCTAGCTGCTTCTGTGTCCCAGGGTGTCTGGTAGCTTCCTGGAGGCACTGTAGACACGAGGCATCCTGCCCACACAGACACACAACACTGCGCTGTGTTCCAGTGCTCAGTAACCAGTGACGTCGTGGGCCTTGGAGATGGCAGTTCCCGTCCACCAGCTCAGCCTCTGAGTGAGCATCACTGGGTAATCCTTGGTGTGGCTTTGGGCCATGGAGCTGGTGGTCTTGTATCTTCACAGCCCTGTAAGAGGTGACCTCTTCGCTCTTCTGCTGAACTCCAGTTTGGGCTTAATTCAGCCAAAGGGGACTTCATCAGGCTGATGGGACTCCCTGCAGGGTCCCACAGATTGCCTGGGGACCCCCAAACTGTGAGCATCCATAGGAAAAGCTACCTCTAACCTCAGCTCTTGGGACTCTGTCTTCCCCTCTGTTAGTAGGTGGTGAATCCCACTGTCGCCCTCTGTTGAAGTTGTGTCCTGGCATGTCTCCACAGTTCCCTGCCTGTCCCCCTTGCTCTGAGCCAGTGTAAGGACTCTTGATCCTTGGTGTGTCCCAAGAGTAGCAGGGCCTGTTCTTCTGGAGCAAGGGTGGACGCTTGGGAGTCTGGGACCAGGTGTGGGGCCTCTGAACACCTGGACGTCCCTCCTCTGGAGGATGTCAGTTCTGCTGCCTTCCTTATGGGGTGGCTGTGAGCCGTCCCTCACACATGTTCAGCCCCTTCCAGGGCTCAACAATCTAAGAGTATTGATGTTTTCTGGGTGGCTTCCATCCATTGTTCCATCTTCCAAGGGGACAGCCCTTTGACAAGTGGGGCAGGACAGATGGCCCTGGTTTGCAGTGGTGGGACCAGATGAGATCCTTGTCTCTGGCCTGGGTCTGAGCCCTTCCCATGGCCACTTGTGTAGGGTCTGCTATGGAAACACACACACATACACACACACACACACACACACACACACACACACACACACACCACACACA